TAGCGTGGGAGCTAAGGCAGCCCACAGCAACAGAAAGAGAGTGTGCATTGACCGACTCTTCAAATTTACCTACGTGCTCAGCATCTTGTATGATAAGTGTCATAAGGTCATAAGTGCTGGATACTGATACTTTCAGGAGCAACGATAGAAATCTAGTTGACAGTGTTAACAAAGAATCGGAGGACAATAACCTTAGAAAACATCGCTTGTTAGCTTCTTCCTTATCAAAAAATCACATCTGTGATAGCTAGAGTATGTTGTCAACATGTCCGAAGAAACAAGACCTCTGAATAGTCACCAAACAGATGGTCCAGCGGCAGATATAGACACAAACGGCATAAGCTTATCGAGTACCTGCATGCCTATTATTGTCGCCTTTGGAATTCAGTTCACAGAGCACGTCATACTGGGAGAAAGTCGGAACTGATGGAAGAATATCTTGAAGCTCCTGTCTGACTATATGAAAAGCATAGAGGATTACTAACACGGTTAAATGAATTACAGCCAAACCTCATATCTACAGTAGTCTGGAACAAGAAAGGGACAGAGAGCTGCGAATAAGTCCACACCACAAGCAGTGATTAACATAAATGGATCTTACGGTTAAAAAATTAACGTAAAACAATGGTGCATGGTTTAAGAAAACAACCCAAACTTCGATTATATAAATAGAACATTATTATATATCACAGAACTTCCTTATTCTTATGTGCGCATAACAAATTCCGTCGCAAAAATACGTGACCGCAGAATTAATTATTCAACAGCAAAACACTGAACTACCGCAGTTAATTTATGAGTAAACTTAAATTAATTGCTAGGGAGCATGCAGTTTTAAAGAACCAGATTGTTTCCTAAAGTAAACATACTTTCTCTTTTCACTGTCCGTCTCGTCTTGTAGTGAATCGTCCTTTCTGTGACGTTTCCTGGTGGAAATACTTCTCTCTTTTTCGGTCCGCTCAAACGGTTTCTAAAGGGAAATCTAATCAATGCATTTATAAAAACGTTAAGTGTTTAAGAACCATCTGGAATACACGTTCACTTATGAACAGAGACCTCGTCGTCAATCTACTAGTGGAGTTGCCGAAATATGTGCACCTATCAAAATATCGTGTTTTACAGTGATACCGCACATCATACCACCATGATTTTGTGAGACTGTAATCGTTTCTTTCAGGTAGAAACCTGCAAGCGTGAAAGTAAAAACTGTACAATAGCCATGATTTGCTAACAGCCTGCTTTTCAGCTTTCTCGCAAAATCGCCGCAATAGAGTGTCCACTAAACTGCTGAACATTTTCAGCTCCTCTTCGGTCATTCGTCGACTGAGAATCACGTGTGACACACAAGCTAGATTGCTAGGGAAACATTGATGTCTATATCACAGGTATACTGGTCAAAATGAATTCCACGCTAATTTTTTTCAGTAACATTTGACGGTATAGCGTCCAACATGCGCCGGTGAGAGGCTGTATAATAATTTTTCGAAATAGGAGCAAAACTGATTGTCCCGCTTGCAGTTCGAATAGAAAAATATTTAACTTAGGTTCATTGAAGAAAATTATCTGTAGCAGGGCTGCATGAACCGAACAATTTGGTTTCACTTTTATCATAGAATCACTGCATACTAAAGGCATTACATTGCATTTAAAATCGGACGAGGTGGAGGCATAATATTTTACTTGCAAACACCAAAAGAGATGAGCTATACTTTTGAACTAATCTAAACCTGAGCGGAAAACTCATCCAGCAAACAAAAACATCATGATACATTGTGTCGGACTGATTCAGAGATGAAGAAAACACTCCTCAGCATACGTCACCTGATTTTATCCACTCCACTCTCTACGAAAAAGACGAGAAATTAAGCCCGGATGCTTAAAAATCTTGAAATCAAAGATAATTAACCAGCGACTGCCAGCTTCGTACACAATATAAATATCTGAATAAAGCATACACAAATGGGTTTCACACAAATTATTACTCTGTATGTAATGGAACTGAAGCGATTTACCTTCTTGTAACAGGCAAAGCTAAGCAGTTTAAAAGCTTGCTCTGCATCTTTCACAGTCACTGTTTTCCCCAAACGAGCTTTGGCGAACGCGGTAGACAGACGAATCATTGTTTCAAGCATACGCGCTGTCACTGGTTGCGTCTAAACGGACGAATAATGAAGCAAAGAGGAAACGGACTTAAGCAGCAGTTGCTATTGCCCCTTTTACTTACCTTTTCTTTGTCTGACTGCTTGTCATCGAACGCGCGAAGTTCAGCGTACCTCTGAGCGACGTATGCGCCAGCTTGATCAGTGAACATCGGCTTTACCTGCCGCGCAATTTGAATATATTTACGCATAAAACTTATCGTCACGCATTTCATCCTGAAGACAACATATATTAAACAGTACACGAGTAATGAGTCATCGCTCGCTCATCCATGTCGAACCCGTCGTCCACTGATGGCAACCACGCAGCATTGCGCTCGAAAATTTCCTCATCCTCATCACTGTCGTCTTCCTCCTGCTGAATGTTCAATGTCGTCAGCGACTGAATGTCGTTCCCGCTCTCAAACACGGCCCCGTCCTCTTCGCCAATGGCGCGAAAGCGGTGAATTTTTACCACGTATTCCGCAACAGCGTTGTCTCGCTGGACTCCGTGCTGGAAGATAACGTCAAATTTCAATTGTAAGTTTTTGAAAAGTTAATGGGTAAAGCGAGAAAGTCTACCTCGTCCAAAAGGACAAACAAAAGATCGAAACGACTAAGCAAAGAATCTTGCATTCCAATGTTCTCCATGGGCGATTTCGCCTCGTCGTACTAAATACATGGTCAGACGATGTAATCGGTCAATGACAAACGTAGTCAGCGTTGTCTGTTACTCACCCGGCCATATACTGGATTGGCGGCGGCAAGAACTGCGCAACGTGCGTTCAACCTAGCCTGTATTCCAGCCTTTGAAATTGTCACTCTTCCCTGCTCCATCACTTCGTGAATAGTCGTACGATCGACATCTGTCATCTAGTGAAGGCCATATTATTAGCAATCAATCAGTTACTTCAAACAGTTAGCAAACGAAAACCGAAAAACGTTTGGACGCTCCACTACCAAAAAATTAACAGCCCAAAGATGTAATAATGTTCTTGCGTTAGAAGACGAATAAAACACGATAAAACGGCTTGCTTCACACAAAAAAATCATAATGGCTTGACAGGAAAGACAGCTTGATCAGGGTTATGATAAGCAATGTAACGGATTTTTTCATGATAATATGGCTCATTATTGTGAACGGCAGAGAATTTCATGATCTGAGCCACAAAACACACCTGATAAATGATCACCCATCGTATCCTTAACGTCGATCTGATAAACAATTATTTATTGCTGCATCAATAAACTTAGTTCTCTGTATTTAAAAAAATAAGTGCACAATTTCTACTCCCCCACCCACCCCACTCATTTTTGTGGTACTAAAGTAGAATGTAATAACTATGATGAAGTAATTCAATAACTTAAATCGAAGACTACGGAAGAACAGTTTTCCTAAATAACAGAAAAATAATGATGAAGTTAAATCGTTAAGTGTACTTTTAAGTAATAGGACAGAGAATAACGACAGAGTATAAAACTATCAAATTGCAAAATATCAAACCTTCATCACATGATACGATTTGTCGATACACTGAAAAACCACACACATTATTCATTTTAAACAAGCTTGAATTAAAATAGGCTTCTGAAAGAATTTAACAACTTGTTCAATATTACATTTAAACTATAGATGTCGCACCTTGTCGAATTCATCGATACATACGACTCCACGATCGGCCAAAACCATCGCCCCGGCCTCTAAGCGTTTTTCACCTGTCTGGGAGTCAGTGGTTACTGCTGCAGTTAAACCGACTCCGCTTGATCCTCTTCCCGTAGTGCAAACAGCCCTGGGAGCCGTGTTTAGCACGTACCTACATGAAAAGTATTAATCAGCAATGAATTCCGTCATCGAACGTTAAAGATATGAGAACCTCAGAAGCTGCGACTTGGCAACTGATGGATCGCCTATCAATAATATATTGATGTCTCCTCGTAGTCTGGTACCATTAGGAAGCACTTTCTCAACGCCCCCAAGCAACATGCAAAGAATAGCTTTCTTTACTTCTTCATGGCCATAAATGGAAGGAGCTAGCGACCTGGCTAATATGTCGATAACATGCTTAAAAGATCAGGTATAAAAGATGCAGATATGAAGCACCGCTTACGCCTTTCATGTGAAGAAACTCACGGATGCGCTGAATATCGGTTGATCGAAACACTGGGATAGCCTCCTTCGCCAAGAGCTGCACGTTATTCGCTATCAGAATTGTCCTAGAAATGCACTATCACCAACCTGTCGTTACATTTTAAAAAATAATTCACGCACCTAAACGTGCCAGCCGTGTAGCCAGATTGCTTACTAGGTAGACAACGGTATATACCA